TGATATATGATGAGTTAAATTGAATTAAAACTTCCTACTTGCCTCTTATAAAATGTAGCTTCCTTTGTTATTTAAATATAATTTGTTTATGTGGTAACATAATGCTGAATCATCAAAGAACTGAGTCTTAGTCCTGGCTGTACTACTTCTAAAGTATAAGACTCTTACCTAGGCTTCCCTGGTGGCGCAGTGGTTGAGAGTCTGCCTGCCGATGCAGGGGACACCGGTTCGTGCCCCGGTCTGGGAAGATCCCACATGCCGCGGAGCGGCTGGGCCCGTGAGCCATGGCCGCTGAGCCTGCGCGTCCACAACGGGAGAGGCCACAACAGTGAGAGGCCCGCCTAATCTCAGTTCCCACAATGCTCTGACTCCCCATTTACAAAGCTGAGTTGATATCACTCATCCTGGCTGATTAATAATGGGGATAATACGTACCCATGTTGAAGTGGGTTAATGATGAATAAATTCTGCTAGACCCCTTTCGTTTATAAAGTATTACACAAATATAAAGGAATGTTATTTAAAAACTTTAAACACTATGTTAAAGAAAGATCTATTGGACTAAAAGATTTAGTGAGAACAATGTACTTTTAAAAAAATAGCAGAAACAAGGACTCCTGAGTCCCTAGCTTCTTGAGTAATTTGTAGATTAGAAGCAACACACTGATTAGATCTTTTGCACACACCAGTTCTCTTTCTTAATAGTCTGGCTTTGCTTTTACTCTCAACTGAAGAACAGAGAATCGCTGTGATCTTGACCTAATGTAGGCTCTAATCTTTCAAAGCTCCCTGTATTTTACTTGGCTTCTCTCCTGACCCTGAAGTTAAATGTAAATTCCAAGATCTCACTGCTTATCTTTTGAAATTGTTTTGTCAACAATAAGTAAGATCAAGTTTAGGAGGTTTGTCTACATTTGTCTGTCTAAGCACTCAGAATGCTCAGTGGTGCCAACGTTTTTTCTTATAGACTTCTCTGTAACATCAAGGGCTCTTGGTTGTCTTAGCCAAATGTCATTCATTGCTTTTCAGGAGTTTGTGCTTTAGGTGCCTTCTCTGGACTTGGATTCCTGACATTGAAAAGGTTTAGCACATACTATCAGTGATAGTCAATTGGAAGACAGACAGACGCAAAGCCATGCTCAAGGATTTCTTCCTTTATTTCTTTTTTTTTTTACATTGTTTTGTTTTGTTTTAAATCTATTTTATTTTTGGCTGCGTTGGGTCTTCATTGCTGCACACGGGCTTTCTCTAGTTGTAGCGAGTGGGGGCTGCTCTTTGCTGCGGTGCCCGGGCTTCTCATTGTGGTGGCTTCTCTTTGTTGTGGTGCACGGGCTTTAGGTGTGCAGGCTTCAGTAGTTGTGGCACGCGGGCTCAGTAGTTGAGGCTCGCAGTCTCTAGAGCGCAGGCTCAGTAGTTGTGGCGCACAGGCTTAGTTGCTCCACAGCATGTGGGATCTTCCCGGACCAGGGCTCGAACCCATGTCCCCTGTATTGGCAGGCAGATTCTTAACCACTGTGCCACCAGGGAAACCCTCTTCCTTTATTTCTAAAATACTTTTTGACCACTGGAAAAAGGGTTGATCTTTTCCTTTTGTTTCTTTTGGTATGTTCACAGTGATACAGAGAAGCAGAGAGAGCATTGCACTCAGAGGGTTTTCTTTTTTTTCTTCTACATGAAAGACTTCATTGTTCCACCTCCACAGTTGACTGCAGGCCCTGGAGAAAGTAGCAAAAGATCAAGAAAGAGAGAAGAATGATTACTGACGTATTTTCAGAGTGGCAGGCTTTGGCTAAATAGAAATACATTGATTTGTGAAAGAGGACCCCTGTTATTTTATTTTATTTTATTTTTTTGTGGTACGCGGGCCTGTCATTGTTGTGTCCTCTCCCGCTGCGGAGCACAGGCTCTGGACACGCAGGCTCAGTGCCGCCCCGCGGCCTGTGGGATCTTCCCGGACTGGGACACGAACCCGTGTCCTTTGCATCGGCAGGCGGAGCCTCAACCACTGCGCCACCAGGGAAGCCCACCCCTGTTATATTTTAACAGTCTAATGCGGCTTGCTTTATCATTAGTGCCTTCAGTACTGCTTGTCTTGATTTAATCAGGATCAAAGCCTTTAGGCTGACATTATAAACCCACAACACAATAGTTAGTTGTGAGCTTTGATTAGATTTAATTAGCATTAGTGGAAAATGTATCAGTATTTTTCATCTCTTTCCCCTCCCTACCTTTTTTCTTTTTGAACTTTTTTTCAGGGAAATGTTTTTGCTTTTTTCCCCTCTTTCCTTATTTCTTAGTCTGGAGAATAAAAATGTAAATATACACACATGAAAGGAAGTGAAAGTATGTAACTAGATACTCAAAAGATCTATTGGATCTATGTTGTTTTTTGTATTCTTAAATAAAACACATGCAGTCTGTGGTGCTGGCTGATTTATATAGCTGTATATTGATGAGATTACCCAAATTAGGAATTTCCAGTGCATCGTTTAACCATAAGTCTTCAAAGAGCCTTAATCGGGAGGAAAAACAGGCATGATAGAGTCAGGGGTGATGGTAGTGATGGTGGTTGTGTAGTGCCTAGGAAAAGCTATTAGTGGACTAATTCATTAGCGTACTTTGGGTTGTACCATTGTGAAGTACAAAAATTTATTAATTTAAATAAGACTAGCATTATCTTAAGACCCTGTAATTACACACATAGTAAAAATCCAAATTTAATGGCAAAAATCCAATTGAAGAATTATTGTTGAGGATTTTGTCAGAAGTTTCTAGATTGGGTAATTGGTTCTTTGGAACACATGAGACACATGAGCCATTTGGGGAGGAAAGGCGATCAGATGTTCAGTTTTTGATAAGATGAATTTGAAGTGTTCAAGGGTCATCAGATAGAGCTATTCAGTGGGAGTTTGACATGGCTCTTATTTGCTAGTGAGGGGACTGTGCTGGATCCATAGATTTGAAGGTCCCTGACATGTGATAGTTAAGACTCTGAGAGGGAATGAAATAAATTAGGAGAGAAGATGACTAGGAAGAACAATGGATTATGTCTAGAACCCTGGGGAATTCCATATTTAATGATAAAATGAAGGAAAAATATCTATGAGGAAACAGAAAATCAGAGATCAGTATCATGGGAGTGGAGTGCAGTATTATGGAAGCTTTGGAGTAAATATTTAAGAGTTCACCTAGAGCAATTACTCAGGTGACTGCCAAGACAGTGCCAATCTGATCCTTGGGAGGGAGAGGTGGGGGTGAGGATTTCCAGCAAGAGGGGAGCAGCAATGCTCCCGAGCAGGTGACTTTAAGCATCCCCCCATTTATCTTTGGGGAAAGTAATCATGAGACTTAGAGCTTAAAAGTAGTTCATTATTGCCAGAAGGCTGGGACTTGAGTTGCAGGTGGAGTTAGTAAGTGTACACATTTATTTGTGCCAAATCAATTTTTTGTAGGTATTTTCCTAGCAGGAAAAAAAATAAGAAAAAATAAATAGAATATGGAATCTGGTTCTAATTTCCCAGTTCCTTTTTTAGACTTTTATTACATTATATTTTAACCCATTTTTATAAATATACATGAGCACACATCACATAAGCCTTATACTTTTTGCAAAGTAAATATTATTTCTTATCTTTTTCTATGGTAGCTATTTTTGATAGTATTACAGGAGAACTGAGTATTTACCAGTGACCTTAGTCATCTTGGCAAAGTATCTGGAAAAGTCAGCTGCAAGGTTGGTTTCTTGTTTATTTATTCAGTCTTTCTAGTATTTCAGTTGCTTTTTTCCCCCCTAAGCTATTTTCTAGTCCCTGACCAATGCCCAAATGTGAGTCCTTGTGAATTCAATGGGTTATAGGAAAAATCTGGTTCTGAGTTTCCATGTTTTGGAAGAGACAAACTAATTTTATGTAATTGACATTGAAATCTCATATTTAAAAAAAACTAGTGTGTTTTTGTGTGTGTGTTACGCGGGCCTCTCACCGTTGTGGCCTCTCCTGTTGCGGAGCACCGGCTCCGGACGCACAGGCTCAGCGGCCATGGCTCACGGGCCCAGCCGCTCCGCGTCATGTGGGATCCTCCCAGACCGGGGCACGAACCCACGTTCCCTGCATCGGCAGGCGGACTCCCAACCACTGCGCCACCAGGGAAGCCCAGACTAGTGTATTTTTAATTGAAAAACCTCAAGATTAAACATCTCTAATTTTTTAGGTAATATGTTAGTCTCAGGTGAGAGAATTACTTCTTTGCACTTTATTTGAAAAACAGAAGGACTAGAGAAAAGAGGAAATTCAGTCATTTTCAGTAACTTTACCAAGTAGTGACAAAATGGAGCACTCTAGTGTGTGGAAAGGGACTCTGAACAGAAACGTCAAATCTGTTCCTCTTCCTAATGATGAAGTGATTTTGGGAAGATACCTAATTCTCAAGTTCTGGATTTTCTCATCTGTTAAACGATTGGATTATGCTAGTTATTTTTTTGTTATTTTTCCTTCGAGTTCCTATGTTCTGCAATTCCCAATAAGATTTCATTATTGATATCAGTAGTCTATACCATAGATGCTCAGTTAATCAATGTCCATTTAACTGACTCCCTAGAGTAATCACACTCTATTCCCTCAATAAAACATGCTGGACGATGCCCATTGCAGAGGAGTACTGGCAGCCAGAAGACTATTCTAGAACATTTATGCATTTCTGCCCCCATCAGTTGAGTTTTATGTTTACCAAGAGTCAGCTAACGTTTGTTCCCAAATCTGTTTATGCCAGTTGTGTTCGTTATTGATATTACACAATTTATTAAGTAGTATGAAAGCCAAAGAAATATGAATGTGAAAAGGAAGAGAGTTGTTTCCATGAGAACTAAACTAAAGGCTTTGGAGAGCATCTGTGGGGGAGGGGGTGTGGGGAGCTGTGTAATATAAGAAAACATTGTAAAATATTAAAACATACTCATAAATATCTAGAAAAGTTGATTTTTATGTTTCTTCACAGCTGAACTTATTTTTTAATTCCACTGTAAAGAAACTGAAATTGGATATCAAAGATGATGCTTTATGCAAAAAAGAAACAGAATACCAATGACTGTAAGAAAATGTTCTACAACAAATGATTGATGAATGAATACAGAAAGAAATGGTTGAAAGAAAGGTAAATTATTTAAGTATGCATGTATAATTTCCTATCTTTCCTTGCTTTAACTCCTTTTTTAATTAACCCAACAATTACCAATCCTGACCATGTCCTTTAGAGGGTATTTATGCTAATTTGTCATACTGAGGTCAGAGCCAGGCTAAAGTTTTTAACTTTCTTTTGTTCTCTTAACATTAACAGGATATACTATACGGATAAATAGTGTGAATAAGATCCTGAAGAGTACTTTTTTTTTAGGCTTTTGAAGTATAAATATTTATTTCAAAGCTAATTACATGTTATAGGGTAGGAGTAGTATTTTCTGGGTTCCGGTCCTGCCTCGTGTTCTTACTAATTACTTAATGTCTTCAAGGCATGGTTTCTACCACTGAGACATTACAATAATATACTAACTCACTGGGTTAAGAAGATTAACTCTGTTCATATACATAAAACACTGCGCCTGGCATACAGTAGAAACTAAAAATATGATATTTATTATCCCTTAGAGTAGGTTCAAGTGCTTCTAATTACCAATTGATTTTTAATGTAATAAGGGACTCTGAAAGTTATTGAATAAAAAAGATTGAACTTTAGGCACCTTTTTGTGGGAGCTAAGGCAAAGTTCAGAGAACAATAGGGTGGCTGGGACCACGTAATTTGATTGCCTGGTGGCCAGAGGTCAAAACTGATTAGCAAGTCAGAACCTTCAGTTAGGGGTCAGTGACCAGGCATAAGCAGACATCAGTATATGTGGCAGATGCTTCCAAGTGAAGTGTTCCCTCTGTGTAAAGCACTTTTGCTGGAGGTGATGAGCTATGTGCCAGGATTACTGCAGGTATGAGCTATGCTTGCTCTCCTCTTAGTCTCAACACAGCAGCGAGACTGAACCTTTTAAAGCCTAGATGAGATCATGTCACTCCTGTGCTCAAAACCACACAAAGGCTGCTCATCTCACTAGGAGTAAAAGCCAAAGTTCTTACAGCAAATGGCCTACAAGGCTCTACAATGATCTGAGCCCTCAATTATTTCACTGCTCTCATTTCTGATTATTCCTCTCATTCACTCTTCTCCAGCTACACTAGCCTTCCTGTTATTCTTTTAAAAAAAGTCTGGCACTCTCCTGTCCTATGACTTTTGTTGTTCTCTCCACTGGGAATGCTTTATCACCCCTAGCTGCTGGCCCCAGTCCCTCACTTCCTTTAGGTCTCTGCTCAAGTCTTACTTTCCCAGTGAGACCGACCCTGACCACCTCTCACCTCCCCATGCTCTCCTTTTCCCTGCTTATTTTGCTTTTTATATTATCACTATATAACTTGCTTAGTCATTATGTTTACTTTTGATTCCGTTTCTCTGCTAGAATGTAAGTTCTATGAGGGGAAGGATTTTTATCTATAGTTTTGTTTACTTATGTATCCCAAGTGCCTAGAATGGTCCTTGGCTCATGGTCTGAGCTCTTAAATATTGGTTCAGTGAATGAATGAACAATTGAGTGGAAGAACCAGGGCTGCCCTGAGTACAGTCTAAGGTATTCTTTGCCAAGGGCAGAGCAAATGGCAAAACTATCAGTCTCTGGGCATTTATCAAGGAAAGCAAAGATCTTTTAAGACTGGAATGGCTCTCTGACATCAGCTACAGTTTGCATATCGCCCTTTTTCCTAACTCCCACTGCTTTCTCAAATTTATGGCCTTAAATTCAGGTTTACTCAGGTAAAGAGAATCAGAGAACTGTAGCTAAGACCCAGATGATCCAGATAATAAACATGTCTTTGCTTCAATTTTGTGACAGATGGGCAAATAGACATTAAGGCCTTTTCCCCCTTTTTCCTTCATTACTTGTCTCTAGTTTGGCTTAATGATTACCTAATGATTCAGCATTTATGACCTTTCTTGTTAACTATTGCAGTCTCTGACCCTCTCATACTGCATCCATTTTTGGTATTGAGGATTTATAAATTCCCTTTCTTCCCTTTTTACCTAATCACAGTTTAAATGCTTCCAGTTCCATAGCTCTCTTTGTGTATAAAATAATACGTCTATCATAATAATAATTATCCTGTAATAATAATTATAAAATTATTTAGCTCTATGGAGCATGTACTATCTGCCAAGTTCTGATTTAGGAGCTTCAGATATATTTTCACTAATCTTCACACCAGCCTTGCAGGGGGGATTTTTGAACTCAGCAAATTTACTCTGTGCTTCTTAGCCTTTATGTTTTCTTCCCCATTAGAGTCACCAGAAACCCAAGGTCACAGATATCTGGATCCCACTCCAGAAGACCTACAATTAGGATTTTCACCAACTTCCAAGGTGAAACTTTTGAACACTCAAGTTTGAGCACCATTGGGTGTGTATTGAGGTAGAACAGACCTTGGAGTGCACTGAGAAGTGGACTCTAAGTTGGCAGTAGTACACTATAGTCATCACTATGCAGTTTTTTAATTACTGTAATGGAGGTTAACCCTCTTCCTGGCAAGTCATACTTTGCTTTTCCTTCTTCTGTGGCATTTGACATATATATTGTCACACAAACGAAAACCAGCAAGAGCCATCTTGAAGTTTCTAGCCAACAGATATTGTTCAACTGTTGTTCTTTCATAGGCCAGATTGTGCCTTTCGACTCTATGTTAAATTATTTCTATTTTGTAAGGAATAAGGGACCAACTCATTTGGTCAGTGCACCTGGCAACAAAGACTAAAGAGGATATCTGAAAAAGTAAAGACAAGTATCTGAATATGCATCAACAAAACGACTAGCTTTCTCTAATTTTCTTACTTATTCAGGTAAAAGAAAATAGCATGACTCAAGAGTCAGATATGTAAAATTGTGTAGACTCATATCACTGTAGTCAAGTCAGATAAGGGAAAGTGAAGCAGTTGTCTAGATGGAAGGCAAACTATGGTCCACAAGCCAGATTGTTTCTGCTATCTATTTTCATAAATGAAATTTTGTTGGATCACAGCCATGCACCTTCTTTTACATATTGTCTATGGCTGCTTTCATTCTACATTGGCAGAATTGAATAAATTGGAGCAACAACTACTGGTATGGACAACAAAGCCAAAAATATTTACTATCTAGTCCTTTACAGAAAAAGTTTCTGCTCTCTGGTATAGATTATTTAGAGATTATTCACTTTGGTTCTAAATTATTCAAAATTTTCATATGGCATTTGACAGTGGTAAGATAATAGAATCTCAATAAATATCTATGAAATGAATGATGATATTTTTCAGTTGGACTCTCCACAAAAAAAGAAATTAACCCAGGAACCTGAAGTCACTAGAAATGTTGGTAATTGTTAACCTGTAACCCCACCCCTAGAATTATGCCATTTGCCATAAAGCACTCATTTACCTACTCTAAAGGGAGAGAGGAGACAATTTTTTTGGAGAGACATTCATTTCAAAGTGGAGGACATGCTTATCAGGGTGTGAACAAGACCATTCATTGGTGCATGGAAAAAGATATTATAATTTATGGCTTCACATTAATATATAGAGAAAAGAAATTAAGCTTTACTGATATTTAATACAGATTGGCACTAGTCCTTGCAAATATGTACTGTCAGAAAGGCATTTGGGTCTCTTAGGGGAAGAGTAGCACTTACCTAATCCCAAAGGACTGGTAGGGTTCTCTGTTGCTTGATTTCAGTGTATTGACACACAGTGAAGTTTATATGTACCTGGTTAAGTGGATTTAGGGATTTCATTATCTACTGCACAAAATGGACAAATGGATAAAAATATTTCTGAGATATCTAAGATTGAAAATAATAACTCATGTACTGCTTAAAGTGGGGGAAGAATGGAAAAGTTGACATTTCTCTTAATCCTGTACAACCAGTTGTTTGGCAGTCAAATAAGTAAAAGGTAAATTCGTAAATTCTGATGAATTTTGAAAATGATCAAGAGAATAAATGAAATATGGATTTACTTCCTCTATCATTATAGACCTCACCCTAGTTGAATACTGTGTCAAATTTAGACAAAACTTTTGCATAGTTGGTGGATTGGATTAAAAAATAAGTACCATGATTTAGTAAGCAAGATAATGAGGTGCTTTTTCTTTTCACATACTTCTATCATTAGGAAATAACTTTTCAGCCATGACAGTTATTAAAATCAAGTACAGAAATAATGAACATAACGTTGGACTGAATCACAAATGTTAAGCCAAGATTTTCAAAAATAATTAAGTATATTAAATCACATTATTTGAACAATTTTTAATAATATTAATGATTTTTTAAAGTGGGAACATATTTTCTTATAGATTAATAAAATAAAAATAAAATAATTATTTATGTTATCTTTATCTCATCCTTTTATAATTTCTATTTTGTATATGTTTTACTATGTATATAATATGTTAGTATAATAGTATATGCATGTAATTTTTATATATTTGTGTATTTAAGCATATACCTTTGGTATATATATATATATATATATATATACACACACACACAAACACATCAAAGGTATATACTTAAATGTTTTATTCATAGGTGCATGGGATTAAAAAGTTTAGAAGCCACTGATTTAGACAATGATGTATGAGTTCAGCCTTCTTACTAAGTGTCTTGGGTTTTATCTCTGCCTGACCTCTCCTCTGACTAAACTTCTCTCAACCTGCTGAAGCCTTGGTAAAGTGAAACAAATTGCAATAACTCCTCTGTATGTACCTTTTATAAATATTTATTCCATATTGTTACATACTTGCTTGCATATTTTACATTTGTCCACATTAGTGTTGTCTTCCATTAGTTCTGGCAACTTAAAATACTAAGGATATTAATGACTAAATTTTCTTTTTGTAGTACCTTCCACAGACAGTAAGCTAATTGACACTGCTGATGCTGTTTGCTTTTGTTCCTGGAGAAATTATTGTATGATTACAGATTTCATTGAATCTTATTGATTTTTATATAAATAATGGGTGCACTTTGTAGACATTGGGTATGTTTGGAGATGGCACAGTTTTTCTGGGGTTAAGCAGGTTTCGATGATAT